TGCACCCCGACCCCTGCTCATACTGCTGCACCTCACTCCTGGTCCCCATAAACCCCCTCCTTGTGGACCCCAACACCCCACACCCTGTTCCCGTGTACCCCCTCCTTGTGTACCCCAACAGCCCCCTCACCCTGTTTCCGTGCACCCCGATCCATGGCACACCCCAGTTCCTGCCTCCCCATCCACCACACACCCCAACTCCTGTCCGTTCCCAATCCCGTGCCCCCCACACACTGCGCACCCCAGTTCCTGTGCACCCCCATAAACCACATCCCCTATTCCTGTGCACCCCAGATCCCTGAGCATCCCTATCCCTGAGCATTCCTATCCCTGTGCACCCCGACAGACCACATCCCCTATTCCTGCGCACCCCAAATCCCTGAGCATCCCAATCCCTGTGTACCCCAAATCCCTACACATCCCTATCCCTGAGTATCTCAGTCCCTGAGCATTCAAATCCCTGTGCACCCCAAATCCCCGCGCACCCCAACCTCTGTGCACCCCAAACCCTGAGCATCCCTATCCCTGCGCACCCTAATCCCTGAGCACCCCAATCCCTGCGCACCCCAAATCCCCGCACACCCCAATCCCTGCGCATCCCGATCCCTGAGCACCCCAATCCCTGAGCATCCCTATCCCTGTGTATCCCAATCCCTGCGCACCCCAATCCCTGCGCACCCCAATCCCTGCGCACCCCAATCCCTGAGCATCCCAATCTCTGAGGATCCCAACCCCTCTGCATCCCAATCCCTGAGCATCCCAATCCCCGCCCACCCCAATCCCTGCGCACCCCAATCCCCGCGCATCCCAATCCCTGAGCATCCCTATCCCTGCGCATCACAATCCCCGCGCACCCCAAATCCCCGTGCACCCCAATCCCCGCACACCCCAATCCCTGTGTACCCCAAATCCCTGCGCATCCCAATCCCTGTGTACCCCAAATCCCTGCGCATCCCAATCCCTGTGTACCCCAAATCCCTGCACACCCCAATCCCTGCGCACCCCAAATCCCTGAGCACCCCAATCCCTGCGCACCCCAATCTCTGCGCACTCCAATCCTTGTGTACCCCAATCCCTGCGCACCCCAAATCCCCGCGCACCCCCAATCCCCGCGCACCCCAAATCCCCGCGCATCCCTCTCCCCATGTCCCCCCCGTTCCCGCCGCTCCCTCCCGGCTCATCCCTCGGTGCGGGGGCTGCCCTGGCCCGTCCCCCTCTCTCGGGGTGCGGGGGCGTTTTCTCGCCCCTCCCGTTGCGGGGGCGTTTCCCCGTCCCGGGGTCGCGCACGTCCGGCCCCGCCCGTTCAATTCCGGCGGCCCGGGGGGCTCCGGGATCGATCGCCCCCCCATCCCGGGACCACCATGGCCAGCGAGGCCGAGCCCGCCCGGCGCCGCCGCTGCTGCCGCTGCTGCTGCGGGCAGGACCCGCCCGGTGAGCGCGGGGGGTCCCGGGGGGTCCTCCCTTCTTGGGGTCCCCCTTCTGAGCATCGCTCGGGCACCAGAGGGGGTCGGGCACCTTCTTGGGGATCTGGGAGGGTCCCCCCCCTTCCCAACCCTCGCACTGGGCACCGAGTGGGATTGGGATTTTTCTCACCTGCCATGTGTTGGGCACCTGTGGGGTCCCCCTTCCCGAGTATCACTCCAGGCACTGAGTGGGATTGGGATTTTTCTGCTTCCCGCCATGTCCTGGGCACCTGTGGGGTCTCCTCTCCCGGGCATCCGGGCACCAGAGGGGATCGGGCACCTTCCTGGGGACCTGGGAGGGTCCCCCCCCCTTCCCAACCCTCGCACCGGGCACTGAGTGGGATTGGGATTTTGTCCTGGGCACCTGTGGGGTCTCCTCTCCCAGGCATCCGGGCACCAGAGGGGGTCAGACCCCTTCTTGGGGATCTGGGAGGGTCCCTCCCCTTCCCAACCCTCGCACCGGGCACTGAGTGAGATTGGGATTTTTCTCACCTGCCATGTCCTGGGCACCTGTGGGGTCCCCCTCCCCAGCCTCACTCTGGGCACCCAGTGGGATTTCCCCCCCTTTTCCTGGGCACCTGTGGGGTCTCCTCTCCCGGGCATCACTCCGGGCACTGTGGGGTCCCCCCTTCCTGGGCCCTGACGGGTCCCCCCTCCCCAGCCTCACTCCAGGCACCCAGTGGGATTTTCCCCCCTTTTCCCAGGCACCTGTGGGGTCCCCCCTCCCCAGGCATCACTCTGGGCACTGTGGGGTCCCCCCTTTCCTGGGCACTGCCAAGTCCCTCTTCCCAACCCTCACACCGGGCAGCGAGTGGGATTGGGATTTTTCTCCCCCTCTCCCGAGTATCACTCTGGGCACCAAGTGGGATTTCCCCCCCCTTTTCCTGGGCACCTGTGGGGTCTCCCCTCCCCAGCCTCACTCCAGGCACTGTGGGATCCACCCTCCCAACCCTCACACCAGGCACCGAGTGGGATTTACCCCCCACCTCCCCCCATTTCCCAGGCACGGGTGGGGTCCCCCTCCCCAGCATCCCTTGGCTCCCACCCTGGGAATTCTGTGTCTACGTCCCCCGTGGGGTCTGGGGACCGGGCTGTCACCCCCCACACAGCAGCACCTGCTTGTCCCAGGCAGGACATGGGATGTGATTATTCCAACCTCTCCCACAGACATTCCCAAGGCCGCCGCGGATTCCCGGCGGGGCTCCCTGTGCGACCGGCACTGCTCCACCACCATCAACAACGACCTGGGCGACCTGGGCTGTCACCTGCACCGGCCCCGCGGCCCCACGGGTAGGTGGGACAGGGGGTGCTGGGGGTCCCTGACCCCCGTGTGCCCCCCTTGACCCCCTCGTGCCCCCCAGCAGCGCCCGAGGAGTGCGAGAGCTGCGCCAGGACCACCCTGACGGCCGAGAACGCCGTGGAGGCCAACAAGCTCTCCAACAACTACAAGGTGGGTGCCCCCCGGGGCCAGGGGTTCTCCTGGGGGGGGTATGACGGGCTGGTTTTTCCCCCACCCACCCCAAAAAAACCTCCCCTCGTCCCCGCAGTTCGGGTTCAAGAAGTGGAAGAGCCACGTGACGGCACGGCCCTGGGAGGAGCGCTCCGACATCGTCAAGGAGCTCTACTCCGACCTCACCGCGCTCCGGGGCCCCGCAGGTGAGGTCAGGGGGCAGCCCCGTGGGTTTGAGGTGGTTGCAGGTGCCGGTGGGTCCCAGCTGTGCCCCCCTATCCCTATAGGGTCCACGGTGACGTGCGGGAACGTCCTGTACCTGCTGCTCTTCGGGTGGTGGCTCTCGCTGCTGCACGGCCTGGTGGCCGCCGGGATGTTCCTCACCGTTGTGGGGGCTCCTCATGGTGAGTCCCCAATCTGGGAAGGGCTGGGGGAGCCGTGGGTGTCCTGGCTGAGCTCACAGCAGCGTGGGGACCTCCTGAGTCCCTTCTCCCTGGAGCTGAAGGGGACACAAATGTCCCTGGTGTCCCCCCCAGGGCGGCTCTGCTGGGACCTGGCCGGGTATTTCCTGTGGCCCTTCGGCAAAGTGATCCAGAAGGTGGAGGTGAGGGCTCATCCCGAATCCTCAGGGGGTGGGTGGGGTGTGCTGTGCCACACCCTGACACCCCCATTGTGTTCCCCCAGGTGCCCAAATCCCAGGAGGCTGGAGCGGGGGAGAGCTCGGCCCTGCTGGGGGGTCCCACCCCGGGCCGCTGGCGCCCGCGGTGCTGGGAGGGCACCGGATACTGGGTGAGCCCCACACCGGGCACTGCCTGGGCAGGGAGCCCAGGAGGAGGAATTTGCTGCTGGAAAGGGTGGTGAGGCCTTGGCAGGGGCTGCCCAGGGAGGTTTGGAGTGCCCATCCCTGGAGGTGTCCCAGGAAGGCCTGGCCGTGGCACTCAGTGCTCTGGGCTGGGGGACAAGGTGGGGATGGGGCACGGGGGGGGATCCATGGGCTGGGAGGGCTTTTCCAACCTGTGACTGTGTGAGTGACCCTCCTCCCTGCTCCTGGGCCCTGCCTGGGCACCGGCACCCTTGGGGTGTGGGGAGAGCCCCCCAGGGCACCTCCTCTCCCCAGGGCAGGCACTTATAGGGCCAATCCTGATGGTGCCCACCATTCCAGCGCCACGTGGGCACCGCGGCCTGGCTGTGCCTGGGGTACCCTGTGCTGGCCCTGTCCCACGCCCTGGTCTGCGTCACCTCCTGGCTGCTCATCCTCACCATCCCCGTGGCCAAGCTGAGCGCCCGCAGCGCCGCCCGCGTCCTGCTGCTGCCCCCCGAGCGCGTCCGCGTCCGCAGGGGCAGGATGGTGAGGCTCCCGGGGGTCTTCTGGGGAAAGGGGGGTTTTTGGGGGCAGCAGCGGGGTCACCAACTGTGTGCCCCCCCGCAGACAGAGGTGCCGCCGGAGGGGGAGGTGATCCTGTGCTGCTACCGCGCCGCCAACCCCTACTACTACAAGTACTCCGTGCACGGCCTCAACGTCTTCGCCGTCAGTATCCTGGGGCAGCGCTGGGGTTGGGATCCCAAATCCCACCCCACATCCCACCCCATCCGCCTCGGCCGGCTCCGGGACCCACCCCCAGACCTGCTGGTGACGGGGTGGGATGGACTGGGGATGGTGGGGAAAGGTGGGGGCTGACCCCAAACCCCACCCCGCTCTGTAGTGTCCTTGACAACCCCCCC